GTCACCTCCAAAACCCACCATTTCAGACTCTCACAGGAATGGCTCCTGTTGTGTCCAGCACTTTACTGGTTCACAGTGGACTGCACTGATGACATGCTCTTGAACTTTTAGATTGCCTCATCACTTAAAACGTTCCCTTTGTTTCTAATCTGAAGGCTATTCCAATGTGCCTGTATCCTTTCGCAGTACTACTGAACCATCACTGGCTGCTGATTCCAATACATTTAGCCAGCATAAAGAACAAGTCTGTCCACAAGAAGCTTTTGTTTATTTCACACCACAATCAATACTCTTGGTACCAGCAGCCAGGAAATCAAAAGATTAATTGCATTGGGAAAGTCGGCTGTCAGAGACCTCCCCAGAGTACTGAAGAACAAGGATGTCAGTCTGGAGACAAAGGTGCCCCTGATCCAGGCCACGGCCTTCACAATTATGTGCTATGTGTCACAAAGCTAGACAATGACTAGGGATGACAGACAGAGAATTGATACGTTTGAGCTGTGGTGCTGGAGAAGAGTAATGAATATCTCATGGACTGACAGGAGAACAAACAAGTTCATTCTGGAGAGGGTGAAATCAGGCTGCTCCTTTGAGGCAAGGATTCTGAGGCTTCATCTGATATACTTTGGCATGTAGCAAGGAGGGGACAAGTCCTTGGAGAGGGACATCATGCTTGGAAGTTTGGAGGGACAGTGGAAGACAGGATAGACCCTCAATGACATGGATTAATTTAGTGACTGGGGTTGATGGTAGGTGTGTCGGAGACAATAAGGTTGGCACAGGATAGAGCAGAGTTCAGAGCTATTGATAGGATCACTATGAGTCACAAGCAAGTCAATGGAACATAACAACAAACAACAAATGTCTCTGAAGTCTTTGTTAAATAACAAGCTCAATTTAGACACAATAAACTTAAAGTCTATGCATTTGATCACATAGAACACTTAAGATTTTTATACAACTAACGATAGAAAGTTATCTTCAGTAAGTATGACAAATAGTAATCTCCTTAAGAGGATACAGTCACAGAACCATGAGAGAAAGAAAAACGGGTTAAACACTTGAAAGACAGTAAATAGGGGGAAATGACAAAAAGATACAAAATTATAATGAACCTGGGAGCTCTGGTGGCCTAGTGGTATGGAGTTGTGCTGCCACCCAAAAGTCAAGGTGTTTGAATCCACCATCTGCTGCTCGGAAGAAAGATGGGAAACCTCTTCCCATGTGAAAATCCGCCAGAAGTCAACTCTGAGTCAGTTCCAACTTGATGGTACATAACAACAACATAAGGAACCCCATAGTTAGTAATGCAAATTAAAGCAGGGTATCACTTCCCTGTATCATTTCCTAAGAGCAGAATAAATGAAGAGACACATAGGCACATGCACCAGGGAGGGAATGGGGTAGATAGACCCCATGTGAGATCACCAAGGTGCCAGGGATCCCTGGGATTCCTGATCAGGAAGAAATCCACAGAGCAGAGACCCAGACTGGGATGGTTGGCCTCAAGAACTTGGAGAAAACAGATTTCTGTTGTATAAAAGGCCCCCCTTGTGGTATTTCTGGTAGGGGGTATTTTTATGAGACACACATCAGGCAGCAGGATGAACAGGGCAGACTGAGCAGAGACACGAAAACCAGACTGATGCTCTCAACTAGAAGAAATGACTAGAAGTCTGAAGATGGAAGAAGAGATGCCAGATGATGGCACCAGCTCTGAAAAGCTAACTGCTGAAGGAGAAAGCTCGACGTGTAGGTTTAATAGCAGGATGTCTGAGTGAGCTGGCCTCAGCTGACCCTCCAGGGGGTTTCTGAGGCTGTAAATGGCATGGGAGGAGACTGTCCGTCCTCCTCAGGAGCAGCGGGTGTATTTGAACCGCTGGAGAAAGGCAATCGTTAGATTAGCAGCACCATCCTGTCAGCTTACTGCACTGCGGTGATTTGCCTGACCCTGTAGGCTCTGCCAGCGTCTGCATGATTCCAGCCCAGTCACTCGCAGTGGACAGGTCTCAGCCGAGCCTCGAGTCCAAGCCTGGGAAGCAGGAATCCCAGGGGAGGACCCTCAGTGAGACGGGCTGACAGTGCCTGAAGCCACAAGTTTAAGGACAGAAGAGATTGTGAGGCTGGTGCGGGGCCCGCAGTGTTTTGTTGTTGCATGCGGCACAGCTGTGGGTTGGAACCAACTCGATGGCACAAAAGCAGAGCCAGGAAGGGAAGGGTCCCAGGTGAGCGGGGACATGAGTGGGCTGTGATGCCCACAGGCGTCCTATGGAGGCCATGTGGGGAACAATGGGGCAGTGAGGGCAGAAGCAGGGAACCAGTGAGTCCACACTGCAAGTATCCAGGGAGCTGGGGATGGTAGTGGTGTGCTGGTCGGTGAGAAGTGGTCGGACTTGAGAGAAGTCTGAAGGTCGAGCTATAGGATCTGCTGTTGCACTGGCAAAAGTGGCTTCTCAGAAAAGATGAATTCCCTTCTCGTTCTGAGCAGCCCCCCTTGAACACACTGAAAGAGGTTTAGGTCACTCTCCCACCTGGACCTCTGCTGCGTCAGAAGGCCTGGCCTGGACTCCTAGAGCCGACTTCAGCTGAAGTCTCAGTCAAAGTCAGGGATCAAATCAGATGGGCCTTCAGACACCTTGCACTGTCTGGGGGAGGTGTCTTGCTCTCCCTGAGACTTTGTTTCCCAGTTTTGAAGCGGGAGCTCGGGGTGTATACTCTGTGGGCCCTCACCACATCCGCTTACTGCAGAGACAGCAGAGATGAGCAAAGGGCACACACTGTGGGCTAGGACAAGATCAAGGACGCAACGATAACGGGGCATTGAAGAGTCGTAAACCAAAGAAGGCTGTGCCAGGCTTTTCCTGGGCTGGCCGCCAGTGCCACCTGAGCACGGACTCCTCAGAGGGACAGAGGCCGAGTCAGCTGCCTGCAGGGCCGAGGTTCCAGGCAGGAAAAAACATTCACCTCGTCCTGAGAGAAGTGGGTGCCAGAGACCCTCCTGGGGCTCGTGAGGGAAGGGTCATCATTCTGCAAAAGAGAGTCCTTTCAGGAGGCTGGACCCAAGCACTTCAAAAACCTATGCCTCAGCACCTGGGACCTTCCCACCGTGGGTTCAATCCCTGGATGAGGTACCTTCTCACAGGTGAGGAGCTGGGGGTTGGGAGCAGGCAGGAGCCAACTCTCAAGGCTCTATCTGATCAACATTCCACATGGTTAACCTAAAGCTTGGCAGTACTGCAGAAGAAAGGCCTGGCAATCTGCTTATGTAATAATGATCACACCCAAGAACAGAGGGTTACTACATCCCAAGTAGAACCAATGACCCCGCAATGGGTTTAGATTATGGGCTCACCTTCAAGATCTGGCTGCCCCGCTTCTGACTCACTGAAGACTCCTGCCTGAATTCAAACAAGTTGCAGCTGAGCCCAGGCAGGCTCCTGGTGGCCCCACGTGTGTTAGTGTAGAATGGGCTCCATAGGGGTTGAATGTTTTTCCTGAACCTGATGGCCAGGCCTTTCTTCCTAGGTGCCTCTGGGTGGACCTGAACCATCATTCTTTTGGTTGGCAACCACAGGGGTAACCATGTGTATCACCTGGGTACTCCTTGTACCTGAGTACTTATAACACGGCCCAATGAGAAATAATACTCTTGATAATCACCATACATGAATAGTGGGCCAGACACTTTAAAGGGACTCTGTCCACCCCCTCTTTTATGCCCACCACAGTCAGCACAAGTCAGGCTCTCATTCCTCTCGTGTATAACTTATGTCTTTCTCTTTCTGTCCACCAGCCTCACTCCTGGGTTTCAGGGTGATGCCGACAGCTGCCCAGCTGACCATCACACCCATCCCAGCTCAGCCACTCGAAGGGGATAATGTCACGCTGGCTGTCCAGGGCTTGGCTACAGAAGGGATCATATCCTTCAACTGGTTTCGGGGTGGGAGCACCGAGTTTGACCAGCAGATTCTAACCTACCGTGTGCTCTCAGGGGGCATGTCACTCGGCCCTGCCCACACAGGCCGGGAGACAGTGAGCCCAGACGGATCCTTACATATTGCTGCCATCAACCTCAAAGACATAGGACCCTACACTATACGTGAGATCATGACGGACATCAACTACCCAGCACAGAACATCTACCTGGCTGTGTTTGGTGAGTGCAAACACCTTCTTCTCCAGCAGCCAAAGGGAGCTGCACTGCTAACCCAAAAGTAATGCTTCTCTGGTGGTTCAAATCCACTAGCAGTTTCTCAGGAGAAAGATGGACAAACTCCTCCTATGTAATTTATAGCAATGAGCTAGGCTGAATTGAAGATGACCACATACTTTCCCTTCTCAAATTCTTTCTGTGAATCACCTCCTCTGTCTTGAAACCAGAAGAACTGGATAGTGCCCAGCTGCACAATTACTAAGCATTTTGTGAAACTATTCTAGAGACAAGTTCTTATCAAAAGGGGGAGATTGTGGACCAAAACAGGACCATTTTATATAGAATCCTTATTTTTTCAAAGTCATTGCAGTTGGATAATCCCCAAAATGATTACCTGGGGATAGCCTTTAAACCTTAAACCAAAATTATCCACTGTGGTCATCTTTCAACAAACCAGTAGTTAGAAGGAAAAAAAAAAGGCCTCCCTTGAGCACTGCATTCTTCTAAAGGAGCCTCTAACTGTATGAGAATAAACTGGCACATGTTTATTCAAAAAGTTAAATGAAAATCTTAGGAGGCTGTAAGTTTATATTGAGCAGAGAAAGAATTTGGACAAGAATAGTCACACAGCTTGAAGGCTTTAATCAATGTTATTGAATAAATGTGGACAATTTGAGTTGGTGTATTGAGTTGGTTTTGCTGCGTTTCCCTTCCCTGGCTTTCAGTTTCCTAAGCATCATCTATATATTTGTTAGGATATTTTACTTTTATGCCCAAGATCCAAACTAACAGAGACTTAACACATTTTCTCTCTCTCCTGAAAGTCTGTGTGCCACTGTTGAGTGGACATAGCTGCTAACTGGTGGTCTAGTGGGTAACGCATTGGGCTAATTGTCAGGCTAGCAGATAGATAAGCAGGCTCCTTCCATGATGAGTGACAGCTCTGGAAATCTGATGGAGAGTTGCCAGGCATTGGGACTGATTCAATGGCAGTGCATATGGTTATATAGTTGCTAACTGATAGGCCACAGTTTCGAACGCACCAACCAGCCCTCTGTGGAAGAAAAGACCTTGGATCTGTTTCCATAAAGGTTAACCACCAAACCAAACTCAAATCTCCGTCTTTCCATCCCTGCTCCTACCCTGCAGAGAGGCTGGCCCCACCTGCCATCATGCCCTCCACTTCAGCACCTCTGGAGCTTCAGGACTCTGTGACCCTCAGCTGCCAGTCCCCAAGCCTGGATGCCACCTTCCAGTGGTATATCGACAAGGAGCCCGTGGCAGGTGGTGAGCGGCTGGAGTTGTCCCCGGACCAGAGGAATCTGACCATCCACCAGGTTTCCCGGGCTGACACAGGACCTTACCAGTGTGAGGCCAAGAACCCCGCTATCACCAGTCTCAGTGAGCCCCTGCTCCTCAATGTCATCTGTAAGTGTCCCTTCCAAAGCCGCCTTCTACATCCCCCACTTTGCCTGGCAAGTTGTGCTGAGGGACACCAGACCCAAGGACACCTGCCTGAGTTGTAAAGGAAGGAACTCCCCAGGTGACAAAGTCTTCCTAAAGTATGAATTAGACTCTGTCCCTCTTCTGTTCAAATCCCTCCCATGGCTTCCTGGTGCCCTTGGGAGGAAAGCCAAGCTCCTCAGAATGGGCTGCAAGGCCCTGAGGGGCAGCTCACTATTCTCTATTCCCACCAGCATTTCCTTTTGTGCACCATACTTTTGGTGCCCCTAGGCCTTTGCACATCCCCTGCTTCCTAGTAAGCTCTTCCTGTCCTTTCTTCTATTATTGCTTGAATCCTCATCCCCCAGGTTTCCACTCAGATTCATCTTCCTCCAGAAAGACCTCTATGAGGTGAATGGTAGGTATTTTCCGGTCCCCATGGGTGTGGAGGCATTGTGAGATCTTATATGTGTCTCCAAACTAAGGACATGGAATGGATTAAGGACTCAAGGTTTTTAATAAATGGCTAAATCTGCTCCATCTGAGTGGACACATAAACAGCAGCATGATAAATGGACAAAAGATTGATACTGTCAAGGATTTAATTTTACTTGGATCCACAATCATGGAAGAAGCAATCAAGAAATCAAAGGATGTGCTGTGCTGTGCAAACCTGCTGCACAAAGAACATCTTTAAAGTGCTGAGGAGCAATGAGGTTATTATAAAGACTAAGGTACACATGCTACAGTATTTTCAATTCTTCCATATGCATAGGAAAGGTGGACAATGAAAAAGGATAAAAAAGATTGAGTACAGAGTAGAGACTATTCCATGGACTGCGAAAAGAACAAGTCCATCTTGGAGGAAGTACAACAATGGTGCACCTTAGAGGCATGGATGATTGGATGATAAAATTTGGCTCACACATACATTGGGCATGTTGTCGGGGGGAAAAAACACCTAATGCTTGTAGAGGTGGAGGGTCAGAGAAAAAGGTGAAGACCCTCAACAAGGTAGATAGGCACAGTGACTGCAACAGCTTCAGGACATTGCAGGGTTTGAGGATGGCGTAAGGCTGGGTGAGGGCAGCAGAGAGCCGGGTGAGGGAGGGGCAGGACTAGGCAGGATTGCACACTGTTACACAAAGGGTCACCACAAGTTAGAGCTGACTCGAAGTCCTCCAACAAGAGAGCTCTGTGTTCCTGCCTCTCTCAGGGTAGAGATGATGCTAGAAACAGCCCAGTGGCCTCAACCTAGTGTCTCCCACACGGTCATCATTGTTAGCTGTCATCAATAAGCCTGGCTTGTGGCTGGCCCAGGTACAACAGAATGAAGCCTTGCCCAGTCCTGTATCATCTTCAAGAAGGAGCCCTAGTGGCACGGCGGTCGAGAGCTCGGCTGCCAACCTGAAGATCTGTATTCTGAGCCCACCATCCACTCTGCAGAAGAATGGAGAGGCGGCTTCTACAGAAACCCCTTGGGTCAGGTCTACTCGAAGAGCCAGACATGATTAGACGGCAGCATGTTCGGCTCCAGGTTTACTTTGATTGGTGTATTGGAGGGAACTGTGGTCACTGTGTACTTTGAGGGCCTCCGAGTCCAAACACTTGCCTTCCTGCACTGTATCAGACAATATTCGGTCGTAATCTAGAGGGTTTTCACATCCTGTGTTCCAAAGTCAGTCAATTGCCAGGTCTTTCTTCCTTGTCTGTCTTTGGAAGCCCCGTGGAACCCTGTTCACAAGGTTGCTGGTATTTGCAATGCTGGTAGCAGAGTCCAGCATCACTGTGTGCGAGACACCAGAGAATGACTTCCTGACAGGAGGGTAGTGACTACACAGTCCATGATGGATAACGCCGGCTCCTTTATTTATTCAGCATATATGGATCTGAGCACCAACTATGTACCAGGCTTTGATGTGAACACAGTCCTGACCTCGAAGAATGGATGAAGAGCTGAGCTCACTGACTCAGTGAAAAGGGCTGTCCTCCTGTAACAGAAATAGCACAAACAGCTGGCTTTCAGGAGTAGAAATTGATTTTCTAACAGTTTGTTGTTGCGGGTGTTAGGTGCCATCTAGCCACCTCCAACATGAAGCAGCCTTAATCCTAGACAGCAAAACTCTGCTCAATTCTGTGCCATCCTCACGACCGCTTCTAGGCTCAAGTCCATTGCTGCACTCGCTGTGTCTCTCGTCAAACGTCTTCCTCTTATTGATGTCCCTCTCCTTTTCCAAGCACAATGTTCTCCAAAAACTGGCCCCATGTGACAACATGCTCCCTTTATGTCGGACAAAGTTTCATCATTCCTGCCTCCAAGGAGCACACTGGCTGCATTTCTTCCAAAAGAGATAGGTTTATTCTTTTGGCAGTTTGGGGAACATTCAATATTCTTCACCAGTACTACAATTCGAGGGCACCAATTCCTTATTCAATGTCCAACATGCATATAAAGCAAATGAAAATACCAATGCTTGGGTCCAGTACAGTTTAGTCTTTAAAGGGTCATTCTTGGTGTTTAGCATTTTAAAGAGGTCTTTGCAGAACATCTGCACACCCCTCTCCCAATAATGCTGTATGGTTTGATTCCTTGACTGCTGCTTCACAGTTTAGGGAGCTCGATATCTGAATTGAGGGGAAGACTGTCTCTCTTTCTCTGTCGAGTAGGTCCCATCTCTTTTCAGATTCTGTTCTTTGTCCTTGTGATGTCCGTGTGTCGTGGCATCTATCTGCCCTCACTATGCTTCCTTGCTTGTTATTTTTCTATCCCAGATGAGATCAGTTTGAGATACATTCTACACTAACGTCATCTCATGAAACACCACCACCACACACTCTCATTTCCAAATGAGATTCTATCCATTATCATCATCTCACTGCTGTGGATTCAGAACTAACTCACAGTGGACCCTCCAGCAGGCTTTCAGAGGCTGTAAATCACACAGGAGCCTATTTTCTCCTGATCAGCAGCTGGTGAATTCAAACCACCTGCCTGTGAGTGAACAGCAGGACTCCCTGTGAAGTAGATCATGTTGTTGTTAGCTGCTATAAAGGATGACTCATAGCGACCCTACGAACAGCAGATCTGAACCCTGCCCTATCCTGTGCCATCCTCACAGTCTCTGACATATTCGAGGCCATTGCTGCAGTCACTGAGTCAATACACCTGGTTGAGTGTCTTCCACACCTTTACTCACCCTCCACTCTTTCAAGCATGATGTCCCTCTGCAAGGAATAACCGCTCCTAGAAACATGCCCAAAGTATGTGATGAAGATTGGTCATCTTTGCCTCCAAGAACACCATGGGTAGACCCCATTCCAAAAGTGCACCTGTTGCTGTAGAGATGATTAGACTTTACAGGGACTCCACAGCATGGTGCAGAGCTGCCCTGTAGGATATCCTAAGCGGAAATATTTCCAGATGATTAGGAAGACTGCCTTATCTTTGGCCTGAAGAATGGTCAGTGGCCTTGAACCACTGACATTACAGTTAGCAGGTAAGCACCGTAGCCATCCTGCCACCAAGACTCCTTACCCACAGGCTAAGACTTACAACACGTACTTTGGGAGATTCCTTATAACCTACAGTTAGGGGTGGCTGCCCAGAGCCACACAGCAAGTGGAAGGGGCTGGCTCTGTGGGAAATGGCCAGCCTGGCAGGGCCCTAGCTCCCTGTGGTGATTCTCACTGGGAATTCACTTGGGCTGCAGACGGACCGGATGTTCCCACAGTGACCACCTCTGACATCAGCTTCATCCTTGGGTTCAACCTCACCCTCTCCTGCTCCACCTCGTCCAACCCTCCGGCCCAGTACTCGTGGAAGATTGATGGTGACCCTGGGCCAGATGGCCAGCAGCTCTTCCTGTCTGCCATCCACCTGGGCACCGCTGGCATCTACACCTGCGAGGCCAGCAACCCTGTCTCAGGCACCCGCAGTGCCATAAACACCTTGATTGTCATCCCTGGTGAGTGAGGGAACCCTGGAAGGCTCTGGATGATCAAGTGCACCTTGGGGAGTTCCAAGAGACTGCACTTTCCACCCAGAGGTGGAGGTGGTCTTGGCAGAGCCACTCGAGCGTCTTCATACACAAAGCCCTGGTGTCTTCAGGGAAGTGCAGCTCCACAGGAGGAGACTATACCCAGTTTCCCAGAGCAGCAGCTGGTGGATTTCAACCACTGGCCTCTTGGTTAGCAGCCCAACATGTAACTCACAATGCTCCCTGTTGTTGCTGTTGCTGTGTATCGTCGAGTCAGAACCGACCCATAGCTGACCCACCGGTGGGTCTTCAGAGGCAGTTATACAGAAGGAGATTGCCCAACCTCCTCCTGCAGAGCAACTGGTGGATTCGAACTGCGTGCCCTGGGATTGCAATGCAGTTTCCTGCCACTAGGCCACCAGAGCTCCCTTAGACTCCTGTATTTTGTCTTCATCTCAAACGTAAACCACACCCACGGCAGTCAGTTGATTTGACACTTTATCACAGAGCCTCTCAGTGGGCTGTCCTCGGCTGTAGCCTTTCTCTTACTGCTCCTCTGATGAGTTTGAATTGCCCATCTCTGGGTTGTTAGTTGAGTGGAAACCACTGAACGTCACTCAGGAGGCTCAAATCCAGCAGTGGCTTCTCAGGAGAGGATATGTGAAAATCTGCTGGGGGGTCAGCTATGGGTCAGTTCCGACTCAACGGCAATGCGTTAACTGAGTAGTTTTAAGCATTGTTTTAGGCACAGAAGAGATGGTGGTAAGGACAGACATGGTGCCTGTCCCCCTGAGCTCAACATCTAAACCCCACTGACACTGAGGTGCTCCTGACACAGAGTGACCCCATGCAGACAGGCTATGAGCCCCCCTCCCTGGCCCCACAGGGTTCTCATGGCTGATCTTCGCAGAAGCAGACTGGCTCATCTTTCTCCCATAGGGCAACTGGTGTCTTTGAGTCATTGGCCTTATAGTTAGCAGTCAACTGTTTAACAACATCAGGGCACCCTTATCCTGCTGCATCACTCACTCAGTCCTCTTGACCCAGAATTGACCCCTCCTAGCTGGCTCTTCACTGGGTTTCTAAGGATGTAATTGCATAAGAGAAGACCTTGTTTCTTTCTCATATGGAACCTCTGGCGGATTTGAACTGTCAGAGTCATGTGGTCTTTGGGGTATCAGTACAGCTCCCTAAGGACCAGACTGTGAGAGCTTCTTTACTGCTGCAGGTGGGTGCTGTGTCACATCAAGTTGGAACCAAGTCATGGCTGACACTCCAGCGGGCTTTCAGAGTCTGCAGGTCATGAGAGGAGAATGTCCGTCTGTCTCCTGCAGAAGAAAATCCCTTTCTCCAGCAGTGACTTTGAACCTTGGGTTGGCAGCACAACACTTAACTCACTAGGCCACCAGAGCTCCCTCCCTGCCACGTAGCAGGGCACTGGCAGGAAGCTCAGGGAGGAGGGGGCCTTAGGGTCTCATGCGAGGAGGTTTGAGTGGAGGAGGCTGATTGTTGCAGAGGCACCGCATGACAGGCCAGTGGAAGCCCTCTGGCTCTCAATCCTTCCCTCCTCCATCTCTTCCTGACAGAGTACATGCCCCAGCCCAGCATCCTGGCTGACAACGTGACCCCCGTGGAGGGCATGGACTCCGTCACACTCATGTGTGTCTCCGCAAAGCAGTCGGCAACCATCAGGTGGTTCAAAGACAGCAGCCTGCTCCCCAACACGGGTCCAGGGGACCTGTCCCCAGACAACAGTGTCCTCACCTTCTGGAACATTACACGGAACGACACAGGGCTCTACCAGTGCGAGGCCAGCAACTCCGCCACCTCCAGCCTCAGCACCCACCTCCCAGTGAATGTCAACTGTGAGTGTCTGCCTGTGTCTGCTCTGGGGGTGGGCTGGGGCATGTCATCATCACCATTGCTGCTGCCAACTTGAAACAGATTCACAGCAAACCCCCCCCCCATTGGATTTCTGAGGCTGTAAATCCTCCTGCAATAACAGGAGAAAGTCCAACTTTCTCAAGTGACTGGTGAGTTAGAACCACCAACCTTTTGATTAGCAGCCCAACATGTAATACACTATGTGACTACACCTCCATCATCATCATCATCATCATCATCATCATCATCATCATCATGAGAAACTCTCCAAAGTTGAATCAAAATCAACTCATGACGACCCCTCCTGTGAGTTTTCAGAGGTTCTAAACCACAAGGGAGGAGACTGCCCATCTTTCTTTCACAGAGAAGCTGGTGGATTTGAATCACCAGAGCTGTGACCTTTGAATCAGTGGCGTGTCTCTCTATGGACTAGTCCTCCAGAACTCCCTTTACTAATAATGCTGTTACATGCTCCCGAGTCTGAATTGACCTTTAGCTGACCTTTCAGTAGGTTTTCAGAGGCTGTAAATCACAAGGGAGGCGACTGCCAATCTTTCCCTGCAGAGCAGCTGGTGGTTGGCAGCACAACTCCTTACCCACTAGATCTCCAGAGCGCCCTTTGGTAATAACAGTAACTAAAACCCATTGCTATCAAGTCACTTCCCACAGCCTTAGAGGATGGAGCAAAACGGCAATGTGGTCAACACTGTAATCTTGGAAGCAGATGGCCTCATCTTTCTCCTGTGGGCAGCTGATGGGATCAAACTGCCAACCTTTCACTTAGCGGCTAAGTGCTTTGATCCCAGGCCTTTGGGTTAACAGCAAAACTCCCTATGGACTCTACCACCAGAATTCACTCAATAACAACAACAATAATAAACCCTAAACCAACACACTGTCTCAGAGCCGATTCTGACTCATGGAGACCCTGTAGGACAGATTCAAATGGCACCACAGGGATTTATAAGGTCATAGATCTCAGTGGGGACAGTTTTCCTCATCGTTATCCTGCGGAGAGGCTGGTGAAGTCTTCTGATCAGCAGTGCATGCCTTAATCACAGTGCCACCAGAGCCCCTCATGAAATACACTGCTGTTGAGGTCATTCTGACTTGTACTGATTCTCCAGCAGAGTTCCAAGGCTGGGGGTCTTTGAGGAGGAGACCCTCCACTTTCTCCCTCAGAGTTAGTGGTAGATTTGAACCACTATTATTTTGGTACAGGGCTGAAGGCACTACATGCCACTGGAGTGCTTACACAGTAACAGTAACCACCACCATTGGGAATATGTGGATAACATCTGTTTTGTCTTCTCAGATGGTCCTGATACCCCTGTGATCAACTCCATGGATTCCACCTTTGAGGTTGGCTCCAACCTCACTCTTTCCTGCTTCGCCAACTCCAACCCACCTGCTGAGTACACGTGGATGGTAGACGGGAGTCCATGGGCAGCAGGACAGATTCTCTCCATCTTAGATGTCTCACTGAATAGCTCAGGGCTGTACAGCTGCCACGCTGCCAACGAAGACACAGGCTACCAGAGCACAACCCAGCTGGAAGTCTCCATCAAAGGCAGGGGCCTCTTTCTGTCATCCCTCAGCCACTATCTTACCCATTAACCCACTCAACCATTTATCATCTATCTACCAAATCATCCATACACTCATTCACCAATGCACCTATCCATCTATCCATCCATCCACCCACATACTTACACATACACTCACCTGTTTGTCTGACCCATCTATCCATTTATTCATCATCTATCCATCCATTTACCCAACGACCTAACTGCCCATCTATTCATCCATATACTTGCCCATACATCTATCCATCTACCCATTCATCCATACATCCACTCATTTATACACCTACCCATCTATAAACACCAATCCATATGCATACCAATATATCCATCCCTCCACCCACTCATATTACTCATCTATGCATATATTAATATATCCATCTACAAGTCCACTCACTAGACCACTTATTTATCCACTTACCAACCCACCTATCCATGTAAACATCTATCTACCCAGTGACTATCCATCTAACCCACCTATCTATCTATCTACCTATCCATCTATCCATCCATCCACTATCTATCTACATAACATCCACCTACCAAACCATTCACCATCAAAAAGGTAATAATGGTATGTGGCGGGGAGGTTAAGAGCTTTCCAGACAGAAGAAACAGTGAGGGCAGATGTACAAGATGGGACTGAGCAAGCAGAGTGTGAGGACCTGGGCTTGGTTCATCTAGATTATCTGAGTAACAGTAAAAGGCCATGTCTGCAAGGGACCTTGAGGTCTCCCACAAAACGGCTTCCACTTTCCTGCCCATGCCCACTTCCTTGATGTTTAAAAACCTCTTTAGGAGTAAGAACAATGATAGGCAATCTCTGACCTTGGATTGGTTCTGGAGGTGGAGAGAGAGTAACAATTCTCGAATGGATATTCCCTGCAAGGAACACAACTGAGTCCCATTGAAGAGCCAAATGGAAACCTAACAATTTACATTCATGTTCTTTCACTCATTCAGCAAGGTACACATGCCCTGATTCTCTCTATATAAAAGTATACATTTAATGTGGCAGTTTGCTATTACTATACCCACCAAAATGAAAACCAAAACCAAGCCAGTTGCCAATGAGTCATTTTGACCCATGGCCCATCCATATGACCAGAGTAGAACTTTGTCCCACACAGTTTCCAATGACTATCATCTTTGAGAAGGAGATTTCTGACCCATGGCCCATCCATGTGGTCAGAGTAGAACTTTGTTTCACAAAGTTTCCAATGACTATCATCACTGGGAAGAACATCTCCAGGGTTTTTTTCCAAGATGCTTCTGGGTGGATACAAACCACCAACCAGCAGACAAGGGTGTTTCTGTAAGTGTATGCCACCATGGGATTCCTCTGCTCTGTGTTTGAATCCCTTGTCAGAGCCATCTAGTTGAAGGCGACCTTTTTTCCCTGACCCTATACTACAAGAGGCATGATGTCCTTCTCCACGGACTGATCTCTTCCGACAACATGCCGAAATCATGTGAGATGGAGTCTTGTCACTCTGGCTTTTTTTTTTTTTTT